CAAAATAGTGAATTTTGAAGTTTTATTCAGTAAATTCAATGATCCAAAGTTCTGTAATGCCAGTCATTTTAACTATTTTTTCCGTTTGAATGGATTGTTGTCACTTTTTTCATGTTTTGAATGAATTGTTTCTTTTATTTATGTATGGTTAATAACCGAATAACCGAACCAAACCAAACCAAACCAAAACCGAAAACAACCAAACCGATAAATGTATATTATATTATATTTGGTTTGGTTTGGTTTTGATAATTTTAAAACCGATTAAGTTGGTTTGGTTTTGGTTTTGACCAATAACAGACCCAAACCAACCCGTGAACACCCCTAATTATAGTTACGAATAGTAAAAAATACTCATTTTAAATCTATCGAAAGAGTCTTTTACGCAATAAAAAGCTCTAGTACTCAAAACGACCAAACGGGTCGTTACATGGACCTTCTAATTTCTCTACATTAAGAGCCTGTTTGACATTGCTGCTAAAGACTATTTATTTTTGAAAGTACTTTTTTTAAATGACTTTTAAAAAAAGTGTTTTTGAAAAAAAGTAATTTGTGTTTGGCTAATTCATTTGAAAGCTTTGGTAGATTCCCCCCAACACAATCCACATAAATTCCACGAATCCCTTGGTGGATAAGTTCGACGACTCAGCAGCAGTGCGGAATTGAGTTTCTTGTCTGGTGGATCTGATCTATAGTTAGGGGGCAATACATATCAAAAGGTTCGAAGACGGAAGGCACATAAGTGTGGAATTCCCAAGATCATACCTGCAGTATTACGAAAACACGTAAGGGCAAAGCTTGATCATGATGATTATTTGGTCAGGATATATCTACCTTGGTTTGGATTATCAAAATAGATTGTGGTGGCTCCTAAAGTGAAGAAAGCCACTTTCCAATCAATTACGACTCCTCACTCAGATATTGATAGTGTCGGGGGTCGAGTCTCGGGCAAGCGAATCTTCTTTCCGGTCGAGCTTAGACCTATCTTCCTTCCTTCCATAAAGGAGGCTAAGGGAGTTCGTGGGGGGCCTTACCCTTAAGGAGGCTTTTCCATAGTTGGGTGTCCGCTTTAGTGTGATTTACGAAGGCTAGGTTAGATTTGGTAATATCCAAAATAAATGAAAAGAGATCGGGGTCGATGCAGATATGCCGACATCTTTCCACGTTCAAGTTGGGCAAGCCACCTTTCTAAAGCTAATCGATTATCGGATTTCACCAAGCCAACTAAAATACTTTTGATAAGCAAATCGTGTTTGACTAATCTTTTTTAAAAAGTGCTTTTGAGAATCAAATTACGAAAAAAGGTAAATATCAATGTTCATTTAATACTAAGATTATCTTATAAATAGAAACTATTTTAAATATCTATTAGATTTTTTTAAATGAAAATATGCATATTCAAATTTTCAATCAATATTATAAATAAATAAATAAATAAATAAATTAAATATTAATATAATATCAACATGATGACTTAAATATAATTCAAAATATCAAGAAAAATAATTTTAAAAACTATTCCACAAATTAAACCACTATATACAAAAAATTCACCACAAAAATAAATAAAATCCTTCATATTTTTAATCCTATAAAAATGTTGTTGTTACATTATTTCTGATTCTGTAAAATAAGACGTAAAATAATATATAAAATATAAAATAATAATAGTATATAAACATAAAATAAAAAGTTATTATATTAAAATAAAAATAAAAAATAAAATTCTTGTATGAAACTTAATCAAATTTATGATATATGTTAATTAATTAATAAGTGATATATTGGTAAATATGTATATATGAGAGGGATATTTTAGTCTTCAAGAAAATAGTTTTCTACTTCTGCTTCTGCTTTTTTTAAGAAGCCAATTTTTTTAGCTTCTTCCCAACAACAGAAAAACTGCTTCTGCTTCCATTTAAAAGCAGTTTTGAGAATTTTCCAAACACTACTTTTATTTCAAAAAAAGTACTTTTATTGAAAAAAACACTTTTGGCCTCCAACAACAATGTCAAACAAACTCTAAATAATCAATTATTTTACTTACATATACATATGATATTAGCAATATTTACTTCTTATATGATGAATCTCCAACCTTGGAAGTTTCTCGCGTCTGTTAAATAATATTTTCATTTTTCTATTGAATTTCAAATGAAATTTGATTATATGTCCTCTTTAATGTGATGAATTATATTCTTGGAATTACATTACCAACTTAGATTATGGCCATTCATGGAAAAAATAAAATTTTGGCTGATAGCAAAGCTCATAGCCTCTTATAGAATTCAATTTAACTTTTATAAGGATGCATATTTTTCATTTTTTTCCTTATTATATTCTTAGTTAAATTATTTGTTATGTATTTGTTTGGTAATTTAGTATCACGGGCTTTTGATTTATGTAACTTTCAATTTATTATTTTAATGAATTTTTTGTTACTTGAATTATTTAGCCTAATTTTTGCTACGTATCTAAAAGTGATTTGTAGTTAAATATTGATTATTTTTGTGTTTTTACGTTGTATGTTGTGTTCTTGAGCATTTTTTTTTTGAATTTTATGTTATGCATCACACACTATTCAATTTATTTCTTTTGTGTGTGTGATTTTAAAAAAATTAAACAAATTAATATAGAATACACGTGTAACACACGTGTTCGAGAACTAGTCAAAAGGATAAAGGTGAATGAAGTCATTTTTACTTATAACTATTTGTTTTCCTTTTTTTCAAACATATAATTACTATCGATAAGAAAAGGCTCCGACTTCTCTCCAAAAATGTCTATGATGAACCCTAGTCTTCTTGGGTTTTGCTTTGTGACCTACAACCAAGATGGCCAATGGACAACCTCTTCTAATCACACCAATATCAACCACACACCCAAATCAAATAATCTCTTATGCTGGTATTTTGCAACCTAACATGAAAGCAGTAGTGTCACGATCTAAGACTACCATCTAGTTGTAATACATTACTTAGAATCACAAGTGACCTCAAGCTAACCATGGTCTAGCATGACACTAGATTCATACATATAAACTAAAATAGCTGATGCGGAACCTGCGCTTGAATGATATGAGAAATCCAAATCTTAACATATTACTTAAAATGGAATTTGTCCTAAAATAATCCACAAGCTGAAAATTAATGTTTGACTGAGTGTGTGAAAGCCTCTACTAAGATGTGTTTTAGGACAAGCCTCTAGCTAACTCTAACTGTTTGAAAACTGAATGACTAAAATAAAGAAAAATATAGGGGTTGTCCACGAAAGATGAGGACCCACCAATATTGCTATTGAGATGATCGGAAGTCATACTAGCCGCAAGCTAGTTGATGAGCATCTGAATCTATATTATAAAACAATATAGCGCAGAGATGTATGCAGTCCGTACTTTGAATGTACTGAGTATGTGAAACATGCATCACAAGTCTAGTAAACTGAACCTGATAAATCTAAAATGCTGAACTGTAATACATGAATTAATACAATGACCAAGTAAATCAACATGCAACTGATAAGTATTGAATTGAAATAATTGAGTACAAGGTCAATGCAATAACTCAAAATTGAACTGTGGGAGATACTAATAACCGACATACTCCTTCTGAGCTAAACAGAGTCCAACCTATATCCCAACTGGAAGGACACTTCGTACGTTGCCAAGGGTATAAACTTGTTGACATGGATCCACTAAATTGATATCCAAATGACTAAGGTGTTAAGCCTACACTGAAAAGTGTCTCTTATAAACCTAAGGTATCACTTAGTATGGGACTTAGGAAATGCTACTAATTAAAGGTCTCAACCTAAATTGGTGGGTGAGCCTTCGTCCCTTTGTCCACTTGGTGCTAAGTAATACTTCCAACTGAATTTATGTTGATAATTTGAATAATTCAAACAAATTGAATAGTTCATAAATACTGATATCTGAGACTGAAAAGATAGACAATTTATCTGAAATCATCTTAAAATATGTGGAACTAAAAGACTGAATGTAAAACTACTCAGTCATTTCTACAATATCTGAATGAAATATGCAATTTAATCATCACGGTTTCAAAGACATGAATTTTTTCTATTCTAAGTGATCACGAAAATAATTATCTAAATATATAAAATTATAGGTAAAACCATGTAATCAAAGACTATCCATGAAGAATAACTGAACTATGATGAAAATCATGCTTTTCATAAGAACCCTTAATTCTATAGAAATCATTAATTGAAGAATAAGGTTTATTTTGGGACTCAATGGGTATAAGCATACCCATTGATAAAATCTCACATACCTAAAAGGAAATTTGTAGAATCTTTGAACTCAAAGCTTAGAGGTGATGAACCCTAGTTTTCTTGAAGATTCTAGAGCAGTGGTGCGTGACTGTCAAAATAAAAAAAATTGCAC